AAAGGTTCAGAGATGCCAGCTGAAAAAGTAGAGCTTGTACACCTTAGCTGGTTCTGTATGAGAGATTCTGATTACAGCTCGGAAGACTAGAAGGCTAATAGATATCCTGCTGGTAAACACCAGCCTCTTCTGGGAAGAAGGACTACATGGATTGCTGGATTTCAGACAATTTAGCTTGCAGAAAGTTTTCTTGCATTTTGGTCATATTGAGATACTTTTCTGGAGACTAATACTAAGGGTGGAAGACTAAACTTGCTAAAGAAATTTCAAGGCAGTCTAATATTCAGTCTGTGGCATGGCTGCTGTTGATGATATTAGCCAGATCTATGTTGAGAATCAAGAGCAACAAGCCAAGCACAATGATTTAAAACTCTGTGAGTTTGGACAGAAAGGAAACTCAAGTATCTCTATGGGCTGCAAATATAGAGCATAGAATATCATGATTAATGCGAAGGATTTTTTTTTTTTTTTTTTTGGGCTGGCTCAGGATGCCTTAAGGGAGTATCTTGTGAGGCAAGTGGAGCTGGGGATCAAACTGTGGTCCCCTGGGTCTGACAGGATTTGCCCAAGCAGGTGCTTAAACAACTTAACTAACCTGTAAGCCCCCTTGATTACTGAGAAGAAACAAGACAATATAAAAGATATCCTGAGGGCATCACAAGAAGCCAAACTCTACCCTTTGTAGTATTAAATTCACAAAAAGTCAAAGACTTTGCTTTGAGGGAAAAGCTGCAGAGTACCATATTCCAGAATGTTGGAATCCTCAAAATTGGATTATTTGTTCCCAGTGATCCAGACAATTGACCACACACCCAAGAGTGAAGAAAGCCTGGTTATGGCTCCAGCTGATAGCAGATCTTGTCATCATCTATGTGACGCTGGTTTTAGATGCATAAAGAATGGAAGAGTTGTTAGATTAAGGCTTCCACACCTATTTCTGAAGGCCCCCAAGAGGGCAGTGTGTGAAGCTGTGTTAAGCCAAAGGTGTAGTGGAGAACCCTAAAACTTGGAGAAACCAGAACCATGGATTATCTGAGGAAATCTGAATAGAGTGAGTAGATCGGGCCCCAGAGAAAAGACCATAGGAGCAACCAGTGTTAATATCATAGTTGGAATATCACCCAACCCCTTTGCAGATCACGTCTTGCCACAGAGTGCCTCAGATGCTGCTCATGGAACTACAGGATTTAATGGTTACTCTAATGGATTTTGGACTTGCTTTGGTTCCATTCCTTTGTATCCTCATTTATAACTTTTGGAATGGAAATATTGATTTTGGGCCTTTGAATGTTGGAAATATTTAACTTTCATTTGTAGAGGGTCTCACAGCTAAAATTTTGGATTATATCACAGAAGAGATTTAGGACTTAGACTGTGCAGCAATGCTGAAACTGTACAGACTTTGTAAACGGTTAGAGATGGACTAAATTATTTTTGCATAAAATGATGTGCACAAGTTTTTGGGAGGCCAGGGATCAGTGTTATAGTTTGCATCTGGAAGTCCCCCCACCCACCAAAGCCTCATACAGTCACTGGGGGCAGGCTTTTCAGAGATAGCTGAATCTAGCTTGTGATTGGCTCATTGTGTATATCTGGGATTGGGGATGTGATTGCTACAGTGGGTGGCCCACAGACAATATAAGGGAAAGGCTTTCTTTCCCTTTTTGCTCATATTGCTCTCATTAGGGATGAGAAGTTGCTATTTGGCTCAGCACTGAGTCCTTTGGTACTGAACTATGGTGATGATTATGACCTCAGAGAATTACAGTTTTGGGCTTAGAAGGGAGAACCACTGGCTATAACAGGTGTGACATTCTGGCTATGGTAGTACAATGGGCAATAATAATAGCGTCAGACACAGCCTAGAAACTGATCAACTGTGATAACTTAAACTTAACACCTTTAATTATAAAAGCAAGACATGCAGTTATGTAACAAAATTCAACATAAATCAAGAACTGTATGCTCTGAGTTTCCCTTAGTAGAGTGATCTGTGTGTGTGTGTGTGTGTGTGTGTGTGTGTGCGTGTGTGTGCAGGATTCCAGAGGGGAAAGATGGAGAGATATATATGAAGATAAATATAGTATAAGTATCATATAGTTGTGTTGGTGACACTTCCAGGTCCTCGTCTCGGTCCAAGAAGCCCATATTTGTAATCCCAAAGTCACGTTATTGGAATCCCATCAAGTTGATTCCAATCTACCACTTATAATGCAACCCATGGTGAAAATAAAGATACTAAATTATATTTTCGATCATCAGGGAGTCAAGGGGCTCTAGGTCCAGCCACGAAGATGGCTTTCTGGAACCAAGAGAGTGACCCAGGGCCTCACCTGGTTTTTATTCAATAGGGGAGTGGCTTGAGGAGGATTGGCTGAGAATTGTAGGAAGTAGGTGATCATTGTGAGCTGAGCTAAGTGGGTGGCCTACATTAACCTCTATGATATGCAGAGAGGATATGCTGAGTGCAATCTGCCTTATATAGTATCTAATGTTTTGGTAAGTCTGGTGCTTCAGCTCTGATGTAGTCTTTCAAGCCCCAGGAAGTCATAGCCTCTGTCTTGAGGCTCGATCCCAGCTGGCCCCATGGGGCATTAGCTCTACCATCCTGTCTTGACTTGGCTCACATTAAAGAGCAGCAGGTGTAGGTTACCAGGGAAAAACGCACGCCACCTTCAAAAACTATCACCAGCACCTCAGCTAGACCAATACACATTGCTTAAGGCCAATTGAAGGATAAACTGAAGTCCTAGCCAGCTCTGTACATAACAATATGAGGAAATAGGGTCAGGCTTAGTCAAAATGGAGACAGTCGCTCTTCTTTCAAGGAGAGCTGCTCAGGTGGTCCTCCACATACTTGCACTAGTGCCTATACATTTGAAGAAGCAGATTTAGCAGAACTTACCTCTGGTAAGAAAAGATCTTCAATGCAAGAGAAGTATGATGTGGCACTAGATCTATTGGTGCATGGGGAGCCAAACTGAAGTGCGGCATGCCACTGCCCCAGATCAGAGGGAGGGGGAAGAGCAGTGGCACAGCAGCTTAGGCAATCAACAACAGTGTTAATTGCGTGGGCTTCTGTAGCAAATGAAGTGGAGGCTCTGTGACACTCATGAGGACTGATGGAGTCATTGGTGGGGCCTCTGGATTTGGTGATGAGTCCTGTAAGGGGAGGGCTGTTGACAGGAGCGTATGTAATGGCACTATCTATAGCCAGCAGTGGAAGTAGAGGCATTCATGAACATATGGGTGGCAGGGAAGATGGTGAGTGTACCTGTGGTGCAAACAGCCAAGACCAATGGGCCCATGTGAAGGTGAGACATGCATGTGAGCATGTGTGCAGTGGTGCATACAGCAGCGTGTACACATCCAGCAATAGGTATATGTGCAATGGTGACAGCTTGGTGCACACATGTATTCAATGATGCAGCAGTACTTGCATGCACTATGGAAACTGCCTGGAACATCTGTGTGTATGCATGTAGCCACAAGACATCTTTATAGGCCTATGAGATGGCTAAATCTGTGAATGCTGATGTGGTCAGTGGCAGTTTCAAGCATACCTTTACCAATTACACTAGAAACTGGTGCCAAAATGTCCACAGTGGCACTTGCTAAAGTAGCGCCAGTAAGGGTGGGCAGTAGTCTAGGTACTGTGGATCTACAAAAGTGGAAACTATCTGTAGCAAAATCCATGTGTGATCCATGACAGCACGGAGGGCTTTTGAGGTCCTAAGCGGCAAAAACTAATGTGTTCCTCAAGAGAGTAGGCTACCATGGACATATGACAAAACAATTGAACTCCTAGGTATATGCTCAAGAAATGGAACTGTTATTTCTACGTGCAAATATATGAAAGTTTGTATCAATATTTAATAAAGCCCCCAAAGTGGAAATAAATATATCAAATGTCTATCAACGAATGGAGAAGTAGGATGTAGTAGACTCATAAAATGATTTAGTAATTAAAAAAAATATGCAATACAATGTAAGGTAGATAAACTGGGAAATATTAATTATGCTAAATGAAAGAAGATAGACACAACAGGTCACTTATTATATTATTCCACTTACATAATATGTCCAGAACAGAGAGAGAAAGAAGTCTAGTTCTTTAGAGGAATTAAAAACAGTGGGTAATAGGAACTGACTGCTAATAGGTTTAGGATTTATTTGCAGTGATACATGTTTTATAATTAGCTAGTGGGTGTATAACTCAATACAGAAAAAAACTAGTTAACTATATACTTTTATAAAATTAATTATATCTCAATGGAGCTGTTGCTAGCAAATAAACAATGATGAAAATTCTCCCTTGTACCTAATTTTTAATCAGGAGCTTAATCTCTGAAATTAAATCACAACTGTTCTATCCATGACTGCCTGACTATCTGCATTAATTATACAACTGTAAAAAAGTTGGAATGTTAAAAGATCATTTCAAATTAATCCCTTCATCTACTTTATGTGAGCTTCAAGAGGGATAAAAGACAAGGTTATATAACTTGTAATAGAAGCAAGGAAGACCCAATCCAGTAGTACATCCTTCTTTGTTACATTTAATATTTTCTTTACTAAAATTCCTGTTTGTTTATGTAAAGAAAAATACATTGAAAGGAAGAAAAATAACTATCTTTCTTATTAAGTCCAATGGTTATTAGGTTTATGGTAAATACAGGAAAAGTGATAAGAGAATAAACATTTGCACCTTTCTGCTTCTATGAATTAGAAAATATAACTATTAATACAGGTTTCACTTTTTAAAGATAATACAATATAAGAACTCAAAGTAACTGGACAATGATCAATCTTTTCCCCAAAAAGGGGATGATCGCACATTTATCAAAGATGTTATATGCCTGGGGATTTGCTCCATCCTTCACAGGGATGTTAAATTTAATCCATAGAAAAAGATTTCTTTCAGAGTGTTAGTTTCTGAAACTCTTTTTCTTTTTTGGTACCATGACTGAACTTAAGACCTTGCAATGGCCAGGCAGGCAGTTATGCTACTGAACTATCTCCCCAGTCCTCTCTTCTCTTTTTCCTTACTTTTCATGGCTGTTGTCCTAGGTAATGACAGACATAGATGCAACAAGTAATTTCTGTGGTGCTTATTTACTTAGGAGACTTTCTGTAAGAATTTTCCAGGATGGACATAGTTGGTTTCACCAATAGCAAAATTTAAATAAAGAATTTTTAAAAATTTTCTTATAAAAAATTTCCTATAGAAACACACTAATTTTCAATGGAGATAACCTTTTTTTTGAAAAGCATTGTTTAATAACCCTCAAAAGCTTACTGCACAGAACGTCATCTCATAAGCCTCAGCCAGAGGGCAACGCAGTGATCACATGGTCCTGCACCTCCTCAGTAGGTGTCCACAGGTAGCTGAGAATGGCATTTTGGGTGGGGGAGGTGGGCAGTTGAGAGAAGAAGGAGTGGTGTCTATCAATTCTGTGCCAAACTCTTTATTAGCTACCAGAATAGGTTTATACCATGATTTCTTAAAACCTTTAACAAGCCAGTGCAGATACACTTGGTCCTAATTTGCCAGACTCTCCCAGGTTGTAAGTGTTGTTCCCACCTTTATATCATTGCTTTTCATTCCAGTCATCCTACTTATGATTCTCTAAGAGGTGTGGAGATGTGTGTAACTGTGTATTCTGTATAGACTTTCCTAAATTTACAAGATCAATACAAAAATTATGTCTATATTCCTACAATGACCTCCTAGATCAGTGGTCCTGGTACATAGATTATGGCTTAGGAGTTTGTTTGCTTCCTTTGATGGCTGAAGAAAATCAGACCAGATAACTAAGGAAATTCATCTAGGAAATGGAAGAGATGGGGCTAGTGCCCAGGACTCTAGCTCCTATTTCTCATTCTCTATCGAAGACTCTCATGCCTAAACACTTTTTTTTTTTTTTTTGTGGAACTGGGGATTGAACTCAGGCCCTTGCCCTTGCCAGGCATGTGCTTATTCTACTGAGCTAACTCCCTGGCGCCCTAAACATTCTTAATATGAAACTGAAGTGGTCTTTCATTGTATTTCCTAACACAATGCAATGCATTTTACATTTAATTTTGGTTTACGTGAGTACAAGTCCATTTATTTTTTTTAACTTGTAACTGTAGAGTTAACCAATGATGGAGTCAATGATAAAATACTATCTTGTAGTCAACTCTTCAAGGTTCTAAGCAAACTTCATTTATTTCTGGTTTTCTCTTCCTCATACTTTGGTAAATATGCTCTCATTCCTTTATACCTATAAGTGTCACTGTCTTCACAGGCAATGGTGTAAGGAAGAAAGAACTAATTTTATCAGATTTTTCAAAGCCTACAAAAAAAGCATTCCATTCTATTATTTTATTCTTCTGTGGATCCAAGTGTATTTTAACGTTAGCTTCCTACTTTCTCGAGCCTTATATCTGTGATAATGTCACAGGTTAAATTATAATGTAATTCCCTTATTCTTTTTTTCAATTTTTATATGCTTACTAACAAAAGATATTTTCATTGTCCAGTACCAAAAGGTATGGCCTTAGAAGAAAAACATGTGAAGAATTCTTTAAAGAAAAAAAAAAGGTATTCACATTTGGATCATTCATAGGCATGGCTATTCATAGCTAACGGTTCTGCATTTCAGGTAACTCCAGCAGTTCTTCCTGAGAAGGAGTGAATGCTTGTATTATAGTCAAAATGAAAGGCTTAATAAGAAAGCTATTTTCAGCTAAGAAATACAGATGGCCTTTTCTGAGGGAGAGAAAAGTAGAAAACACAGTGAAAACGGGTTGAACTCTTGGGAAATTCACTTCTCAATAGTATATCTTTTTTGCTCATTATCAAGAAAAGGAAGTTAATACTAATTATACCTTACCCATATAAAATCACCAGCCAAGCAATTGAAAAGAAAATCACAAAGTAAAGCAGAAGACTATTTCTAGAGAATTTGTTCTTCAATTTGTAGATGGTGACATGAGACATATATGACGGAACATCCTTGTCACAGACTGGCAGTTGGGATTGTATTGCGGAGTTTTGACACTGGAAACACAGCACATTCTTCTGTAATAAAAACTTATGATAATCTACCACTTGCAGTAAGAAATGATTACTTACTACTTAAATGAGCCACCTATTTTTTAAAAAAGGAATGCAGATATTGATCACATCAAACGTTTTCATTAAGAGGTTGACATGGACACTCATATAGTTTATCATGGATGATCTTAGAAGGTTTCCTGTGTGTGAGAAACAGAACCACAGGCCTTTTTGTATAAGTTCCTGTACATCTTCTCCATGCTGTTCTCAAAGATGGGTCGGTGGGATTTTCCCTTATAAGAGGCTTCCCTGTTGGACCAGTATTCACCATCATCTAAATGGAGATTACCACGTGGCCGCTGAAATGAGCTATAAAAAAGGACACAAAAAGTTTAAAGCAATGGTGAAAACAAACTAGAGGCAGTATTATCTAAATCATGTATTTATGGAGTACTTTATGGGTATGTGATTTTTTTGTTGGAGCTCTTAGAAATATAATTCAATTAGTTTGCACCTTTGAAGATTGATTCTGCTGGGGGAAGTAGAATGACTGATGTGAAGCAGTTATAGCACAATAGAATGGAATTTTGTGTTAAAGTTAAAATGAAATTCAGAGAAGTGAGACAGGTGTAACATGGTGAATGCAAAGCACAGAGGATCTGGTATGGTGGGCAAAGAACATATGGCCTCCATACGGTTTGTGTCTAGGTGTCCCCTCAAAGCCTCATGTAGTCAGAGGGCTGCTTCTGGAGTTTGTGATTTATTACTGTGGATATGGGTGCTGCACTCACTTGAGGCAGGTGGTTTGCATTACAATGTAAGGAAGGGAGAGAGGCTGGCTAGCTGTCTGAGCTGCTGCCACTGCCTTTCCTCTCTGCTCTTTATTGCTGCCATGCTTTCTGCAATGTGCCAGTCCGCCTTGGAGCCAGTTGATTATGGACTGAAACCTCCAGTAACTGGGCTAAATAAACTTTTCCTTCCTTAATTTTGGGCATTGGGTGTTGGGTATTTTGTCCCAGCAACAAGAGAAGAGTAACTGAGATAGCCTCTAAATCCAGTATACCTGGAACTGAACCCTTTCTTAGCTGCAGAACGTTGGGTAAAGTTTAATTATCTAGAATCCCAGCTTCCTGAATTACATTTTTGTAGGATTGTTTCCAAAGTTAAATAATACACATGTGAAGTGTATAGTACAGTACTTATCTGAAACATAGAAGTCATTAAATAAGAGGTATTAAATTACATATTTTACACATATATAATCAATCAATATCCCAAACTTTCAAGTGGGTAGGATGTGGAAATTAAGACTTGGCGAAATTAAGTGACTTAGCTATGACCACTTAGCTAGTGACAGAAAAAGAAAGGGAATCTTATCTGTAGGTCTAAAGCCCTTTCTACTATGCCATATTCTTTTGTATCCCCTGTGGGTGAGAAAATTAGGATGATTATGTTTATGAAAAATGGAAATGACATAGAACCACCTGAATTTGAATAGGGATCCATTACAGTTTGGAGAGTCTACAAATAAAACCAATACAGATATTTATTAAAATACATCAGGACCAGTCTTGGTATAATGCTAGTAGGGAAGAGGCAATACTTTCTGAAGGATTGATAATACACTTATGAACATACCAAAGTTATAATTATACTCATGAACATTAATTTCTGGGTTTACTAGATCACTTTCTAGAGAAAGATGTTCATTTCTTCATAGATTTTTTTTTAAACATTTATTTATTTAGTGTGTGGCCAGCTCAGCCCACCAGGGGATGGGCGGACTGGCATGTGGTGCTGGGGGATTGAACCGCGGTCCCTGTGCTTTGCCAAGCTTGTTCCAAGTAGGTGCTTTAGACCACTGAGCCATCTCTCCAGCCCCTAGATTTTTATTTTTATATAAATATTTACCTGTTTTAATAAAGCACCTGCTATAAATTAGATATCTCAAGTCTGTTAGAGATTATGAAATTTGTGACATATAAAACTATATTTCCTGTGACTATGACACATACTTAGAGTCTTCATATAGATAATTTACTTTCCCTGCTTATCAGTCCTATGGCATCACTTCTATCATCAGCTGTAGAATATGAACTCCTGGAGTTACGTATCCACGAAGACAGTTTACATGGCTTGATATCAATCTAACATACACACACAATTAAAATGGCCATAGAGAAAGACATGGAGTCTTTCTGTGAGCATGTGAACATCCTCAAAGCTTGACATAATGTCGATTAGGATGCAGCATAGGGCCACTTTGGATAGAAAGTGGCATGAAAATTAGACCCATTCCTATATCAACTCTACTCTCCTCAATCAAATCATAATTATTTATATGGATTGTGCATCTCAAGTTGTAGTAATTCATATGACAATCTAGGGAATAGCAGTTTAAGATTAACAACAAAGAATTAAAAAAGTCATTGAGGCATATGTTCTTTGAAATTTCATTTCCTCTGTGGAGTGTTTCTCCTTCAAATTAATCTGTATTACACAATTTACATGAGAGGCCCAATTTTCCTCTTTCTTAGGAGGCAGTAATTTTGGGAAAGGAACTGACACTCACATTTATTTATGAATACAGGGAAAAGAAGATACCCTTATATGTTCCCAGATGGCCCAATATAGCTTACCATGGAAAGATCAGAGATTTGGATGTAAAACCCAAGTTAGAAATAAGATATATTCCATTATTTTGAGTTCTTATATGTGTTTTTCTGGAATCTCAGAAAGTCAAAAGCCACATAGTAATCAGTAGTATAGCATGGAAAGATCTAGAGAAACTTTGACTACATGTGCTCACAACTTAAAGTTTTTAATTCTGAAATTCACTGACACAGGGAATTCAAGTCTTCATGGAATTTACTAGTGTAAATTTGCGAAAATATCACTATGAATATTTCTAAAATTTTAAGTGGGAAGGACAGGATTTGCTTATATTTAAAGAAAGGTTTAGTCACAGTCTAAAATTATGAAAACTAATTTTTAAATTAGAATAAATGAAAAGTAAAATATGTGCATTTATAGGGCTGCCAAATAAAATCTTAAACAGGATGAAAAGCATTACCACCAATTACGTAAAAAGCTTTACAATGCACACATTAAAAATTATTAAGTATCTTTTTGGGTTAAAGTTTCTCATAAAGTTATCAGGTTAAAAACCAGGTTATTAAAAAAAAAACCAACCAGGTTATTTGTACACCAGTTTGAGAAAAGATCAATGCACAGCATAGGCCAACTCGTACCTGTACTCAGGGTCACTGTCATAGGCACAGTCTCTGTACAGAAGACCTCTTTTCAATTCCAGTTCGTCGTCTTTCTCTGGGTCTCTGTCATCCTTAAAAATTTAAAAACTTCCATTAATTCACTTTTTCATAGCTTTCAAAAATATGAAGCTTATGTTTTTGTGGGAAATACTCTTCTTCTGTACTATAGAATATCAAGTCAAATGCTTATATATCTTTAAAGAAATTAAACAAAAGAAAATGTCTTATCCTCTTGAACAGAATTACATAGCATTATTATAATTTCACTAACACTGCTTACCGAAGACTAGGCATATAGCAGATATTTCTTGAGTTAACAAATGAATGGAAATGAATGTCAAGATATGCAAATTAATAACATCTTCCATATTGTTACATGAACTCCTAAAAGACTATATTTACATTCTGGGGCTTAAGTATTTAAGAAAACTATGTAGATGCAAGTATATAGCTGTGATTTAAAGCCAAAATGCAACAACAAGCCAGAAAAGGCAACAATGAAAGTTAATTGGCATGAAAATTAACAGCTACTCCCTTGAAGGGGCAACCTATTACTAACTTCTGAAAGACACATAACAGATATAGATTCTTTTATGTTCCTCTAGTTTTCTGAGACAGGGTCTCTTCATATAGTCGAGGATCGCCTTGAACCAGTGATCCTCCTCAGCCCTAGCCTCTGAGTGCCAGGATTACAGGTGTGCACCACTACAGCCAGCTTACACAGGGCACAAGAAGCAGAATCCTGAGCTGTTTCTATGTGAGTTGTATCACATAGACATTTTCTGTGTGAGTTGTAACATTTACAGTAAGTTCATATGCATAGTAATCTGATGTAATACATTATCAAATATCTTTCTCAATTACTTAGTCAATACCCTTAGTTTCTTAGTCATAAGAACAAAAATGAAGAGAATAACAAAAGGAACTAGCATACCCAAATAAAGATTAGTATTTATAAGGAGTTCACTTACATTAAAACTGAACAGAGATTATAAATGAAAAGTGATTTTTAAATTTGTTGATGACTTACTACTATGAAGAGGGTATTTACACTGTAAAAATATGAGCAATAAAAAAATCACATAAAATGTCCATACAAATTTAGAATTGTTCCAGTTCCTAGGTTTTCTCATTATAAATTAATTCCCTTTATTTCTATTGCTTTTTTTCCTCTCTCAAGTTTTTTGATCTATGATTAATACAAGTAAGGCAACTTTCTTTTAGTTAGTGTGTGAATGGTATTTGTTTTTTTATTTTGAAACTTTCCTTTAGAGTTTTATTTTGCCTGGCATAAAGCTGTAGGCTGTACATTTTTATCCAGTCCAAGAAGTCAAAAAAAGCAGAGTACTACCCCTATGAAAACCACAGATATGTCAAGGGCTACAATGAAAGTGTATGTTATGGTAAAGGAAATAACTAAACAACATAGCTTACTTAAGAGGAAGTGAGAACACAATCAATAAAACTACTCACTGAGAGCACTGATACCATCTAAACCTAGGATCTCATGGGGTGAACTTCCTCCACTTCTCCCCTAAAACATAGCTTCTTGTGAGTCCTTCCTTGCCAGATTACATTTAAAAGTTCAAGTTATATTAACAGCAAAAAAGCAAGAAATATACATTTTTATAAGCTATTAACTGTGTGTTGGTGTTGCTTTCTCCACTGCATGTCTCAAATTGTCTGTTGAAATCTGTGGATTTTATAGTATGACACGTTCTTTTCATTTATGTATTTGGTACAGGGTCTCAATACACAGCTGGATTTATGGTGGTCCTGCTGTTTTCAGTCTCCCTGGTGCTGGGATTATAGGCTTGTGCCACCATACCTGGACACCTTCACACACTCAGCATGCCCCGGGGGCAGGGCCAGAGTAGCATGCAGGACTAGAGACGGAATCCTGGTCCCTGTGCTTGCCAGAGCAGGTGCTTAGTCTGCTGGCATATCTCACAGTCCCTGATATATCTTGGTATCAGGTATTTTTCTTGTTAATCTCCCGTTCTATCCATTGTTGAACTTAGTATATTGAAGTCTCCAACTATTATGTTGAATAGTCTATTTCTTCCTCTGTCTTTCCTTCTTCTATTGGGGGCCTTTTTAGGTACATAAGTATGTAATGGTCATCTATTGCTGATGGCTTGACCCTCTTATCATTGTATCTCTTGAAGTCTTTTGTTCATAGTTGTTTATCCACTCTAGCTTTCTTATGCTGTTTGAATGGTACATCTTTTTCTTTCCTTTTACCTTCAACTTATCTGTGCATGTGACTCTGAAGTTTATTTTGCATGGACAAACTATAGTTAATCATGTTTTAAATGTATTCTCTCAAGCTCTGAGGCAAACACAACAGCTCAACAAAGATGTTCTAGAACTTCTTCAGAAAATGGCAAAAACACATCATGGGATATGTGTGTTCAAAGTGAGGGGCAGTATTTTGAAGGGGGATTAATATATGTCTGCTGCTATAATTATTTTTTAAATTAAAAACACTATATATTGAATCATTCCCCATAAATATGAGTTATTATTTACAGTTCTTTTATTTTCTCCTAAAAGACTCTTTTAGTACGTCTTATAGTACAGATTTACTGATGTATTTTCTGACTTTGTTAATTTCTCCTACAGTTCTGGAATATAGTTTCTCTGGTTATTTATGGTTAGTGGTTATATCTAGTTTCCGGAGAACCACAGAGACAGTTTCTATCAACATCTTTTTAACATCTCTATTTCCATTGTTTTATTGTTTGCAGAACTCTGCTCATGATTTTGGGGGCTAATTCTGTAAAGTCTGTGTTCATTTTGGTGGGTGGTCCCCCGACACCTATTTTGTCAGCCAAGAGTCTGTTACTAGTTAGGTAATAACTGGAGATGCACATTCCCATGAATTCTTAAGTCCTCCAGTGATTCCTAAGTAGATCTGTGGTGTTATGGGGTACTCTTCCAATACTCAGTCTAAATTTTAACTCCTTGCTCATTCAGAATATTAACTTGGCCAGAATTGAATGTGTAGGGTCTTCATGTGCAAGGCCCTGGGATATATACAGTCCTATAATCATGTGTCACCCTCTAAAATCCTAGGAATAAATGAAGGAGCTCTGCAAAGCACCTGTAGATATAGCCAGCCTTATTCCTTTTAAGCTTCTGATTATTTTATTGTTTATCCAATTGCTCCTATCATTTCAGACTTCATAAAATTAAACAACTGCCTATAATTATTTTCAACATATGTCTCTAGTATAAATATTTTGCACTGGGAAAGCTTTGACTTATGTTGGCAAAAAAAGATAACATTTTAAATGGGTTGTCCTAGGTAATCTCCAGATAAGTCAAATAATGCCAATTCCCTAGCAATGATCTTTGAAGAAACTCCAACTTTATTCTGCCTTATACAATGGGATAAAATGATACAACATGGACAAGTTTTCAAAACACTATACTATACATATAGTCTATTCACAAAGATCACATACATAGTATCATTTATATGACATTTGAACAACCATCGATAGAAATTAAGTTGATGGTTGCCTAGAAAGAGAAGTGATGTAGGGGAGAGTGATACTGAACTTTTTAGATGTCTTCTGCAGTTATAAAACTGTTTTGATATTAGATGTGCTCTTGATTAATATTTTCAGTATATTAATCATTGAAATGTATAACATGAATAAATACCTAAATATAATTTAATAAGGCTTTTATGTGAATAGGTAGCTTTGTTTTTACTATCTCAAGGATTCAAATAAACACAGTGCTCAGCTATGGCAATCTAGAATATTTCATAGATGAAGGGAAAGGGATAAATAATACACAAAATTTTTGTAGTGTTTACTGTGAATATACATAAGATCTGAATAATATCTAATAAATGTTATAAACTAAGATTTATACAAATGCTGTACCATGTAATGACAGAGATCTATGAGATACAAGTACACACAACAGAATTATTAAAACTGGTTATTTTCTGGGCCTTAGGGACATGTTAATAAATCACAAATAACAAAGTACTTGACAAGACCTTTCAACTAGCTGAAAAGAACTTAAGTTATAAAGAAACAAAAGATAAGAGAATACACAATTAAGTGCAAGTTAAGAAATATATTTCTAAATTACTATGAAGTCAATGAAGATATCAGAATGGAAATCAAAAAACATTTTAAAGTAACTTGTAATAAAAACACAACATAGAAACAATGAGACATACCTAAAACAGTATAGAAAAAATAATATTGTAAAATGTACAGGCTAGGAAAAAAAGGCATCTATTAATCCTCTATTTAAAAAACCTACAGAAAAAAGAATGCAAAATTATCAGCATAAGTTAATTTAATAGAAAAAGACTTGCTCTAAGTAAACAAAAAGATGTCATAGTTTCTTAAAAAGATAGATAAAATAAATAAGCTCTTAGCTAAAAAGTGGAGTAGGCAAAGCAAAATTTAAGTTGAATTACTATGATCAGAATTGAAAATGACATTTGATACCATATAGTTGTTTAAAGGAATATAAAGATCCTGTAAAATTCTTTGTCATTCAGTGTGATACCAATGAAACAGAAAAATATTTAGCAAAATTCAACTGAACAAAGTAATATAAGACATTAGAAATGTAAATATCAGATATTAAAGTAATTAAATTCATTATTAAAAACTATGCTATGAGGATGGATTTGTACAAACTTTTAAGAAATAAGTAATCTTGCACAGACTCCCTTCAGAACAGGTGGAATATTTCTCAATTCATTTTTTTTTCTTTTGGCAGAACCGGGGTCTCAGTTCATTTTTATGAAACACAAGTGGAATGTTGCAAGGAGAAATCTACATTCAAATCAATATAATAAATACACATAAAAATAATCGGAGGCCTAGCTCTAGCCCATTTAAACCAGTAGCCATCTAACTTCAAGGGATGTTATTCCTAGGACGCAAAGCGGGCTAGCTAACACTTGAAAATCTAGCAATTCACATTATTAAAGGAGAAAATACAGATGATTACCTCAATATATGTCATATATTTAAGATAAAATATTAAAAAGACTCTTAGTAAGGAATTCAAAGATCTATAATTTGACAAT